TTTCCTCAGGCCTCAAATTGAAAGCTGTTAAAAGTTTATGAAATGGGACTTCCCTGGCGGTCCAGTGGTTAAGACTTCACCTTCCAGTGCAAGGGGTTCAGGTTCGATCTCTGATCCGGGAGCTAAGATCCCACATGCCTTGGGGCCAAAAAACCAAAACAGAAGCAATACTGTAACAAATTCAATAAAAAATTTAAAAATGGTCCACATCAAAAAATCTTAAAAAAAAAAAAGTTTACAAAATGAACTAAGGGTAAAGGGGGTTATGAATTATCATATTAAGCTGGTTATAAATTCTCTTTATAGCAACAATTGAGTCACTAAGAAAGAAGTTAATTAAAGGACAACTCCATGGCTTGCTGTTTCAGGTAAAAAGCAAACAAAAAGACCCAAACCTCTGTGATATGTGTTTACTGTGGGGAAGTTGTCCAGTTGGTGTTAAGATTTTGAAGCTAAGTTATAATATATAATAATTTTAGTCATAAAATTAAATAATCAAGTTAGAAAAGATGCTCTGGTAGACTTTGTTTTCTTATGCACTGAAAGCATTTAGCAAAACAGGAGGGGAGACTGCACATGAGTGAGTGGCTCCTAATAACATCTTTTTCAGAGAGGAAGCATTTCAGAACTGTATCTGTTAGCAAAGGGCCAGTTTGCTAGCCTTAGGCACCTCCTTTCTGAGACTCTTGAGTGGGCTTTGATGGTTGCTGTCTCTTTTCTCTCCTATTTGAATTAAACTTTCAACTCCTCTCTGTCTGGATATCTCAAGATATCCATGGTACAGTTAAATGTATTTCTTTCCCTTTTGACACTTGGTGAATTTCTCCTTTCTGTTCATAAATAAAGAACATAAGGAACAGCAAGGTTGGCACTGGAGGGAAGGGGCTGGAGGAGGAAAGAGAGAAGGGTGATATTTGCATGTATCTGTTTCTAGGGCATAATGCAGGCACATCTGTTTAAGCAGAAAAAAAAAATTCATGTAGGAGATTAAGCTAGGCAGAGTACCTAAAAATCCCCTTACAATAAGTTGAACTGGAAAAATCTCCATAATCATCTCAAGAACACCAATTTTCTATTATAATGTAACTGATAGACATGTATCTACCTCTTGGACAAAAGTCGCAATTCTATTGCTGTAGAAATTTCACAGACAGCATTTTCACTCTCTGAGTTATGTCTCCAACAAGCTTCTTTGGTCTCTGCTTGAAGATTTCAGTGACAAAGCCATTCAGTTTCCTGTTCCTGATCTTTGGATTTCATTCCTAGAACAAGTAATGGGAAAAGTGCAGTGAGAGGTTTACCATTACAGACTTGTTCCCTTAATGTAAAATACAAGATAAAGAGCTAGTCAATTTTCTCCTTCTCAGGTAGCATCACACCTTAAATCTAATGTATTTTGTATCTGTCACTCTCCCATCATTCTGTCTTTGAATGCACTCCACCATTTTTCTCATGACAGAGCTGTTTAGATGAGGAATTTCCTCACTACGATCCCTTGTCCTGCTCAGATAGAATTCATCAACCTCTCCAGGAACAGTTGGTGAGTTTAAGCTTTTTGAAACTATTTAAGTGCCAATTGTGAATCTACTACTATGCCAAAATAGAAAGGTAAGTCCAATGTGTATTAGAAAGTTAGAATTCTAAGCTATACTGATTTTCTTGAGAGGGTATCAGACAAAGCAAGATACCTATTTTTTTCTTTATCGTGTGCACACACACAATTTTTTTTGTTTTTTTGTTTTTTTGTTTTTGTTTTTGTTTTTGTTTCCGGTACGCGGGCCACTGTTGTGGCCTCTCCCGTTGCGGGGCACAGGCTCCGGACGCGCAGGCTTAGCGGCCATGGCTCACGGGCCCAGCCGCTCTGGGGCACGAACCCGCGTCCCCTGCATCAGCAGGTGGACTCGCAACCACTGCGCCACCAGGGAAGCCCACACACACAATTTTGATAGGCCCTAGGAAATGGTACTATTTAAAACTTTTTGATTACGGTATCACGAAGAAGAATTATATAACTAAACTTGCCCCTCACGCATATTTCTTTCCTCAAAGCCTTTGTTTATATGAAAGTGTTGATTATTGGGAATCGATGTTATCTTTCTGTTAAATTATTGAAGAGTGATTTTTAATAAGAATTACATTTTTACTTATAAGGTATGTACCTTTTGATCCAAAGCATGAAAACTTTGTTACTTGATGTCACTTATTTTCTTCTCAAACTCTCTTGTGGGAGAACAGTGATATTCTTTCTAATTTTGGAGATGAAGAGAGATTATGAAATATATTACAGCCCTTTGGAAAGCTAATAGTACTTGATTTTCTGTTCAGAAGCAGTGTTGCCATAAACGATATAGTGGTCAAGAAGCAAGAATACATCAGCTACCCCTGACCTTCAAACATACATGCTGGTGCACACCTCTGCTGGGTAAGCATGGATAGACCCTTTCCTATATACCCTGTCAGACACAGCTGGGCATGGGGTTCTTCTTGAGAGGGAAAATAATTAATCACAATTATATAGCAAATGTTGAAAACTTAGATGTTTATCCCTGAATTCGGTCAGTCAACTTATATTTGACCACCTACTCTGTGCAAGGCACTCTTTTATGTATACTAGAGCGTGAGTCCTAAAGTAGCTCACAGATTATTAAGGAAGTAAGACCTGGGTTCAGAGAAGGCTCTGTAGAAGAAATGAGTGTTGAACCAGGCATGGAAAGACGGGCTGCATTTGGAAAAGCAAAAAGCATGGAAAAAGTATTCCAACTGGGGAGAATGACATGAGGGGGAAAAAAAAATGCAAAAGTTTTAAGTGTTTGGAGAAGAGTCCATGCTGGATAAGTCACTGTGGAGATAAGAGGGCTTGGGTCAGGATGGAGTAGAATTTAAGTTTGGAGCATGTTGTAGGTCACCTCATGGACTATTACTTAATGCCAGTCTAAGGAGAATGAACTTTATCTTAGGAAATGCTGAAAATGGTGGCATCTCTCATCACACCCTGGATGTGCTTGAAAGCAAAAGTTAATGGTTGGTTCCGAAATGACAAAAGAAATGGGATGATTATCAAAATAGATTTAAGAAGGAATAAAAAGCAAGTAGAGTGACTTGTGGATCATTTCAACTAGAAGAGAGAAAACTGCTACCACTACTAACAAGTGGCCAGTTTGTGTCAGACAGTAGATAAGTGCTTTATAGAGACGATTTTACCCACACTAACTCAGTGATGGTAACAGTACTATGGCAGCACTGAAAGAGTGCCCGCTATGTGCCAGGCACAGTTCTCTGCTCTCAGAACTGTATGTTCACGTACCTGTTAATTCATTTAATCCTCACCATATCCCTGTGAGGTAGATGCTAACGTAATTCACATTTTAAAGATAAGGAAGCAGGAACACTGAGTAATTTGCAGAACTGTATGTTCATGTACCTGTTAATTCATTTAATCCTCACCATATCCCTGTGAGGTAGATGCTAATGTAATTCACATTTTAAAGATAAGGAAGCAGGAACACTGAATAATTTGCCTAAGGTCATGTGGCACTTAAAAAAAATTATTTATTTATTTTTGGCTGCATTGGGTCTTAGTTGTGGCACGCAGGATCTTTTGTTGCAGTGCGGGCACTTCATTTTGGCACGTGGGCTTCCCTTTAGTTGTGGCACGTGGGCTCAGTAGTTGCGGCGCACGGGCTTAGTTGCCCCGAGGCATGTGGGATCCTAGTTCCCCAAGTAGGGATCAAACCCGAGTCCCCTGCATTGGAAGGTGGATTCTTAACCACTGGACCACCAGGGAAGTCCCCATGTGGCACTTTGTATGTAAGTAAACTGAGGCTCAGAGTTGGTTTAGTTATTTATCTGAGATCACACACCTGGTTTATGTGTCAGGGTCAGGATTTGAACTAAAAATTGTGATTAATTTCAAAGCCTATGTTTTTTCTATTAAATTCTGCTGCTTCCTATACTCAGAAAAACATGACAAGACAGTTTCCTCAAAAAAAAAAAAAATTGTCACCCTATTTCCTGCACTCTTCAGCGGTTTACAATTGCAAGGTCGAACTGTTTTTCTCTTTAGGAGTTGATAAACTGTTTCTGTAAAGGGCCGGATAGTAAATATTTGAGGTTTTGCAGGCTGTACGGTTTCTGCAGCAACTACTCAGCTTTGCTGTTGTAGCCCACAAGCAACCTTGGATGATACTGAATGAATGTGTGTGTCTGTGTTCCAATAAAACTTTATTTACAAAAACAGGAGGCTGGCTGGATTTTGCCCCCTGGCAGCAGATTGTTATTGACCCCTCTAGTTGCTTACTAGGTAAGGGTTTCTGTTTCTCCTCCTTCACCCCTACCCCCTGCTTAAAAAAACAAATGACATTTCTACCCCTCATAACTAGGCATCAAAATTTAGGGGGTGGGGAGTTGTAGTGTTAAAATGTTAATTGAATAGATAAAGAAGATGGGGTACATATATACAGTGGAATATTACTCAGCCATAAAAAGGAACAAAATTGGGTCATTTGTTGAGACGTGGATGGATCTAGAGACTGTCATACAGAGTGAAGTAAATCAGAAAGAGAAAAACAAATATCGTATGTTAACGCATATATGTGGAACCTAGAAAAATGGTACAGGTGAACGGGTTTGCAGGGCAGAAATTGAGACACAGATGTAGAGAACAAATGTATGGACACCAAGCGGGGAAAGCGGTGGGGGATAGTGGTGGTGTGATGAATTGGGCGATTGCGATTGACATGTGTACACTGATGTGTATAAAATGGATGACTAATAAGAACCTGCTGTATAAAAAAATAAATGAAATAAAATTCAAAAATTCAAAAAAAAATGTTAATTGATTTGAACTGACTTTTGTTTTTTCAGAAATGGTCTAATCTCCCAAGAGGAAAAGAAATAGTATATATATATAATTTGAACCATTAACTTCTGTATTTATTCTTTTCTGTTCTACTGCAGATGCCTTGTATCTGGATAGTCTTACAGCAATTCCAAGACTAGAATTGACACCTTTCTCATGTGTAGCCAACCGAATCCATGCTTCATATGAAAGGCCCAAATATGGAGAAGTAAAGGATGGTGCTTTGAATGTGACTGGAAGGCACAAGTAAGTTAAAAGGGCCTACTATTCATGGGTGGCCTATTCCTATTGCCTAAACTTTTAATCAGTAAAAGTTTCATATCTTGACATCATGACATCTTTATTGTGGAATTTTTATTGTGTAACTTCTCTAACTTTCTGAAAATTGACCATTTTAAAACAAAGATACCTTTATAGTTTTCTCTATAGCTCTTTTGGATTTCATGATATCCATTCTAAAGTGTAAAAGACAAACTAGGCTACTTAAAATGTTTCCCAGTTTTTAGGAATATACTGTGTACTGCTAGGTTAACTCATTCAGCTAGGTTTTTTTTTTTATTATTTTTTTAAATTTTTATTTTTTTCAGCTAGGTTTTGATCATCTTTCTATTCCTTCACACTCCAGGTGAACAAGTCTTTGGGACACTATCCCTGTGCTCGCACATACCCTCTCCCAAAGCTCATCTGAGCTCACTCACCTTTCTAAGTACACAGACATTTCTTCCTTAGGAAAAGTTCAGAAATGTCAGTGGAGTTTGTGAGCACTGTTCACCCCAGTGAAATTTCCTTTCTGTGTCGAGGGTCAGGAAGCAAGACGCTGGATTGCAAATACTTCATTTCCATCTGGGACTAGATTCTCTATGGTTATAACCTCTCTCTCTGATGGAGCTTAGAGCTCTCTTTCATCACGTCTCAGTTAAGACATGAACTTAATTAGAAATTCGGTAAAATTGGGGCAGGGAAGGGGAACTATGTGATAGATTGGTATCTGCTGAAATTTGCAGTTTTTCCACCTGTATTAAGGAACTTTACTGTCTATTATTAGGTGTCCAGGCCCCACAGGTGGTCCCCACCCAGGAACAGATCTTTCAGGTTGCATCAGGATGAATAATGACCTAAGTATGGAAGTGAGTATTGGACTATATTTCAACTTCATTTTTAGCACTACCATATCCTGACCCTCTTCTGTGGTGCTGTTTTGTTTTGTTTTGTTTTGAAGTATTATAGAGACTCTTATGGCAAGTACAAGTCTTATACCACAGAATTCAGATGCATGAGAAATGTCAACCTTTTTTTTTTTTTTTTTTTTTTTTTTGTTTTGTGGTACGCGGGCCTCTCACTGTTGTGGCCTCTCCCGTTGTGGAGCACAGGCTCCGGACGTGCAGGCTCAGCGGCCATGGCTCACGGGCCCAGCCGCTCCGTGGCATGTGGGATCTTCCCGAACCGGGGCACGAACCCGTGTCCCCTGCATCGGCAGGCAGACTCTCAACCACTGCGCCACCAGGGAAGCCCGAGAAATGTCAACCTTTGATGGCATCTGGGGGGGATTTCTACCCCTTCTATAGTATAAACTCAAGGATATATAACCAAATGGAGATTTTGATGAAGTGTGCTGAACTTTTTGTTTGAAAGGCAGGCTGGTTTGGGACTTAAATTCACTATTGGCTATCAGGAGTCTCAGGTCTCATTGACTCTCTAAGAATCGAGGTCAAGGCTAGATAATCTTTGAGGTGCGGGTACTTTGCTGTACAGAGTAGGGCAATGCCCAGGGAGTACCCATTGCTGCAGTTAGGTGCTAATAGTACTTCTCTACCCAAGAAGAGAATACTAAGTAGCTGATGGCACTTAGGCAAACACCCCAGGTCGTGGAGATGTGCCTGGAGCACTTTCCTTTGTCAGCAGTCTGAGCCTGAGGGAACATGATCTTCTCAATCAAATGGAGCAGACCATTCTGTTCCAGAATCTGGAAATCCATCACTCTTCCTTTTTGTAAAAAAGGTTTATTGGGCTTCCCTGGTGGCACAGTGGTTGAGAATCCGCCTGCCGATGCAGGGGACACGGGTTCGTGCCCTGGTCCGGGAAGATCCCACATGCCGCGGAGCGGCTGGGCCCGTGAGCCATGGCCGCTGAGCCTGCGCGTCCGGAGCCTGTGCTCCGCAACGGGAGAGGCCACAACAGTGAGAGGCCCGCGTACCGCAAAAAGTAAATAAATAAATAAAATAAAAAATAAAAATAAAAAAGGTTTATTGTGATATAATTCTCCTACCAAACAGTTCATCAGTTTAAATTGTTCAATTAAATGTTTTTAAAAATATTCAGAGTTGTGCAGCCATCACCACAATCAACCTTAGGACATTTTGATCCCCTTAGAAAGAAACCTCACACCTATTAGCAGTCTATCCCTATCCGCCACCCCACTCCACCCTAGGCAGCCACTAATCTGCTTTCTGCCTCCGTAGACTGGTCTATTCTGGATATCTCATGGAATAATGGAATAATACAATACGGACCTCTTGTGACTGGCCTCTTTTCTTAATATAATGTTTTCAAGGTTCATCCATGTTGTAGCATGTTATCAGTGCTTCATTCCTCTTTATGACTGGATAATATTCCAGTGTATGAATATACCACCTTTTGTTTATCCATTCACCACCGATAAGCACTTGGGTTGTTTCTACTTTTTGGCTACCATGAATAATGCCACTAAGAACATTAGTGTAAAACATTTTGTGTAAACATATGTTTTCAGTTCTTTGGGGTATATATTTAGGAGTAGAATTATTGCATCGTATGGTCACTCTATGTTTAACACTTTGAGGAACTGCAAAACAGATTTTCAAAGCAGCTACACCATTTTACATTCCCACCAGTAATGTATGAGGATTTCATTTTTTCTACATCCTTGTCAACAGTTGTCTATCTTTTTCTTAATTAAATTAAATTTGATTTTTTAATTTCTATTTTATATTGGAGCATAGTTGATTAACAATGTTGTGTTAGTTTCAGGTGTACAGCAAAGTGATTCAGTTGTATTATACATGTATCTATTATTTTTTGTCTATCTTTTTGATTATAGGCATCTTAGTGGATGTAAAGTGGTATCTTGTGGTTTTGATATGTATTTCCTTAATGACAAATGATATTGAGCATTTTTCATGTACTCGTTGGCCATATGTATATCTTCTTTAGAGATATGTCTACCCAGATCTTTTGTCCATTTTAAAAAATAAGTTTTTTTTAAAAATTCATTTATATGACCTGTTCTTATTCTTTTAAGTGTATGTATCTCACATTTTTCCATTCCTTAGTACCCCATCCTACTGAATAGCTAAGAAAAGGAAAGAAAAAGGAAATGAATCTATTTTGCTATTCCTTAGCAGTTCTTGTAAAGTTTTAATAAAGGAAGTTGAACTTGGAAGCTTACCGGATGTTTGGTTGTTAGTAATTTCCCTTTTATCCGGTACTGATTTCACCAAGAAAGGGGAAGGAACCAACATCAGTTGTGTACCAGGTACTTTGTAGGAAAACATTTCCACGTGTCATGTTATTAATTCTCTCTACAGCTTTGAATGGTAAGTATTCTCTGCTTCTATAGATGAGGCAACTGAAGTTCAGAGAGGTTAAATAACTTAACCAGGATCACTCAACTAGTAAGTAGCAAACCTGGGATTCAAATTCAAGTTTGTATAGATTCAAAGATTAATCCCTTCTTACAACTCCTCTGAGAACACTGAATTTAGACGTTTCAATCATAATAACTACTCCTAGTTACCTTGAAAGTAGTTTTTTGGCTAAGAAATAAATTTGCTTCCTTTTGTATCTAAAAGGAGCTCCTAATCCACTCTCATTAGGATATGTGACCGAATTGTTTTGTCTCGACACCCATGAAGAAATAGGAGCGAACAGAGATCACAAGACAAACTCCTGTTAGATGCTGCTATGGAAATGTATAGATTCCCTGCAGGTTTTCTTGCTGCCTTCGTGCCATTTCTTCCATAGGCCCCAGGAACTAATCTGTCAGCTGCACTCTATGGCTGTTCCCACCAATGTCCACCATTTCCTTTTCCTCTGCTCCGCTGAGGAATCCGGGCAGCCTGTTGTCTCCCTCATGTCTGTCCCTTGAGTAAATCCCCACCTTCTACCCCTTCATGCCCCCCCACCCCTCTCTTAAACAAATAGAACTCTCTCCTTAGATAATGCTTACCTATGCATTCTCATTCATAAGAATTAGGATGAAACATGAAATTAAAATTACAAAGCATATAATCTGTGTTTGTCCCAGCGACCCATAAATCGTTGTGTTTTCCTAACTCTTTGGCTTCAAACTCTTGGAATTTCATCACTCTTGAGGGCCTTCAAAACAAACAACTTGCCCTGGTATTCAAGCTCTAATCTGGTTGCAACCTAACTTTCCATCCTTTCCCCATCCATGCCTTGTAGTTGTCCCTAAATGTCAGCCAAACCAGGTGGTCTGTATCGTTGGAATATGTGACACAAAGCTGTTTATGCTGTTTTCTCTGCCCAGAACACTTCCACTTCTCCACTTGTCAAATTCTATTTGACTATCAAGACCCATTCCAAAAACCAAGTGTTCCATAAAACCTTTTGTGGTAGCGAGAAATGTTTACCGTCAAGCATCTCTAGTCCTTCTTGAGATGGAAATCGTAATGGATTAGAAGTCGAGAGGTGAGGGTTTTCCCTGGTTCGACCTCTCTGCTACTATGGAAAAGTCTTGTCATTCAGGCCTCATTTTCCTCATTTCTCAACCGTAGCACTCAGGAAAAAATAAGTTCACTCTTTTCTTTTAGACCCCAGTTACTCTGTGCTCCTCTCGTCTATATTTTGGTTACATTGTAGTTCTTTGTTTTCTTAACATGTTCCTGTATCAGATTATAAACTTGGTGTAGAGTGCCTTTGGCCATTAACCAATGTGCATCTAGCAACCTGAATAGATTTGGTATACAGTAGCTGCTCTATTAATATTTGTTGAATGCCTATTTACGTATTTATTTTTGTACTCCCTACAGGGTCCATTTAAAACATTGAGTGAGCACCCAGTGAACTTGTTGGATTGACAGTCTCGCCCTCTTGCTTTCTGACTGGTGTTCCTGAGAACCTTAGATTTATTTTTTTTATTCCTCTCCCATATTCACAGAGGAAGCTATATTCTAGCATCTTTTTCAGAAAGCACAATAGCAGATAAGAGTGAACATCAGTATTCATAAGGGGATCTTTGGGTGACCAAAGGACTCTAGCAAGACTAATACCTCAAAAAGAATGTGTCTTAGTAAAATAATTTGGGGTCCAGTTTGGCACATTCCTGGGAAGAACAGAGCTACTTTACTGACCCAGTGAAATCTATTTATTTGGGATATTTTAGCGTAAAGAGGAAAAAAGGAAATAAATTATTTCCAGTCCTCGTCTTTTAGAGACTCAGACTAAAATATTTATGAAAGAAATGTCTATGGTATCTGGGATATGCTTCAAAACAATGCTAAGGTAGGTTTAGTGGGTGACGGTATAGATGAAAGGAGATGGGCCATAGGTTGGTAATCGTTGAATCTGCAGAATGGGTACACAAAGGGTAATTATTCTATCCTGTCTACTTTTGTATTTATTTGAAATATTTCCCAGTCATTACCTAGAATTTTTAGCCACATAGTATAGGCTTTGGAATTAAGCAGTTGTGGGTTTAAGCTGACTCTGTTACTTATTAGCTGTGTGAACTCGGACAAGTGGCCTAACCTCTTTCAGTTTGTGTGTGTTCCCTTGTGAAACAGAGATATTACTTTGCAGAGTTCTTTTCAGTATTCAAATACACACATACACATATACATATATTATGCACATATATACCTATATATATCTGCAACAGCTAAATTCTGGCCTCACCAGTCCATGGAAACAAACCAAGTAGGGCATATTTAGAGGAGAGACAAATCTCAGTGCTCTGTCTCCCCACTTGCTGATGAATAGGAAGGCCTTTTTGATTCATGGGGTCCCTTCTCAGCATTTCCAAGAATCTCTATACTGGTGCCTACCAGTATATCCCAATGTCCTTCTGATCTCACCACCTTGTGGGTCCCAGGGAAGGACACTTAACCTCCTGAGAGATCGTTGGAGAAGG